TACAACATAATTACCATGCAACAGATTGTTTATTGCTTTTATAGATAGCAGAAGATTATGTATCATACATATCTATATCAAAATGTTAATATACCTATAAATATATATGATAAAATTGTTGTTGTAATGATCGAGACAAGTTTTATAAAATAAAAAAATTGTAGATTTTTCATGGAAGATTTAATTTCTTGAAGTGATGTTTGTTCCTAGGGTTAATGCCCCTTTACCAACCAAGGTCATTTAAAGGTGAGGTTGGAACCTCAACGAACAGCATTTGGGAGGCTGTCAAATGCCATCCACAGAAATTGGGGTAAAGTGAAGAACACAACACAGTATGTCTGTTTCTGAGCTGCCTTAGATACACAAACTGACACAAGTGGGAGCATTGAACCACACACCTTGGATTTTTCTCTGTGGTAACACAGACCAACACTTTATAACTGAATGACCTATTGTAAATGAAGCCATTTCTCAAAATGAAACATGTTGTTAACTTACCAGAATCCAATAAATACCATATATTCTGAATAATATTACTGCCAGAATGACATGTCTGATATATTCTGCTTAGAAATGTATAACCAACGAACAAAAAATCATATAAAGGTACAGATTAGGGTAATATCACAAGTTTTAAACCTCTTGTAATCTGCATCAAAGCAACATAAGAAATATATATTTTCAAGTAGTTTAATTTGTTTGTTGTTGCTTTACGTCCTACTAACAGCCAGGGTCAATTAAGGACATAACAAGTTTATGTCACAGTTTCCTGAGAAAAACCAGGATCTGGGGCCAGCTAGTACCTGCTGATCCCTCCACTTCCTACCCAGTATATAAGTAGCAGAAACTGTGGCAAGAAATTTGATGGAGAACTATTGATCAATCATTGATGTCATTGACAAAACTCTCTGCAGCAATGGTGGCACATATTGGTTCTTAAGTATCTTTTTATTATCTGATATTCTGTTCACGTCAAGTCAAAAGGTCACATAAAAATCAGAATTTCAGGAAATTTGTGTCTGAAATTCCTACTGCTCTAAACTCATTTCAGCATGTGGATGGGTCTAAATGGCGATACCGCACAGTCAAATCACCATTTACTTAAAAGGTTTTCTCACTATAGACATCAATCAAATTTTATATCATAACACCCTTGACACTGTCAAAATCTGGAGTAACCAGCTAACTGTTGTGTGCTTGCCTGTAAGCAGGATGACATCTCCGAAGATTAATGCAAGGAGTAGCAAAATCAGGGAATCATGTGTTTAACTGTCAGACCTCACAAGCATTATATGTTTTCCTGAATCAGTAACAATGTGACCTACATTTACCTTAATACTTCAGTGAGCTAGATTCCTATGGTAAACCTTTGTAAACTAATCTGTAAATATTCAGTTTGAACTATTAAAAGTTAATATGTAAGATTAAATTATTCAAAATTGTGCTAGACATAAGTTAGAGGATTCATCATAATGTATCTGCTTATGTTAATTTAGTACTGACATCTACTGTGAACAATTATGTATTGACCAGTGGCCAGAGGTATTCTCTCGTCACTGATCTACTACACATGTTCACATATTTTGTTCCCTGATTATATAAGTCATTACCTGAAGCCTATCTAAGCAGTTTGTATGATGGTCAGTGTAACTTTATCTTGTTGTAAACAGCCGAATCCATTGCCATTTATGTGTGCACAACTCATGTATACTTCAATCCATGTTTACCTGTTAGCTAATGTGTATTAGTACTTCATCAGTTTATTAACATGGCTAGTATAAATACAACCACCTTTCTAGCCAGTATGTATCTGTTCCTGAAGGCATGTGAGTGTTCCATCTCTCCATAACCTACACCGCAATAAACCTTCAACACCCAAACAGCATTTGGACTTCTTCATCTCCACTTTTAAGTTTCTAAATTGAGTTCAGGCTAGTCAACTTTACATGGCCTTAAAGAACAACTTCATTGAGAATCAGATTAAAGAAATGATTGACTTTCATCCAAATCTATATCAGTGTGTTAACAAAACCAAAATGGACTTTTAAGATACTTTGCCCAAGCCTGACAATGAGATAGCATACAAGGATAATAGGTAGATGAAGCTTGTTTGCTGGAATTACTGCCCATGAAAAACCAGGGTCATTTTGGAGTACAGTCTCCTTGTAGTAGCTGGTAGCTACCTCAGTGAAATACATCAAGGAGGTCTGTCACATATGCCATCCAGAGAGGTAAGAGTAAGGTGTCTTGCCTATGGACATAACCATGTGTGAACAGACTGGTCCGTTTCTAAGCTTCACACCCAGAATATCAAACTGCCACAGGCTGGGAACATCAACGAATGCACCTTGGGTCTTCACCTGAGTGATTTTATATCATGTCACTTTTACAGTTACTATATGCCTAGAGACAATATTGTTTCAGCATTCCTGTATAACATGAAGCCTGCATGGAGAGATTCATGTCAGATATGAAGGTGCCTGATTTGCATTCGTAAAAGCATGAATGCAAAACAATTTAAGTAAAAAGTAAACAGATCTCTCCATTGTATTATGGACCTAAAGCATGTATGTTTGACCCAAAACAGTTTAATGTTACACAAATGCTTTGACCATGTTTTGATGTTATTTGAGACAGGAATCATTAAAATTTCATGTGGAATGGATAGCAGTGACATTTGTTCTTGATTTGCATGAAATGCATACCGAGTAAAAATATAGGGATTTGTTACCTACATTTGGTTGATAATGTCATTTATGTATGTCACTATTACAAAATGATTGAGTACATGAATTTAAAGTGATCACTCATTTTCAGTAGAATATATACTATAGCCTATCAGCACAGTGGAATGATAAAAGTACTTGTCAAACATTGTCATAAATGATGAACAAGAGGCCCATGGGCCTTAACGGTCATCTGACAAAAAGCAAGCCAAACCTAGAAAGTGGGTTGAGGTCATTCATTTGAACAAACTTGGTTGCCTCTCCTCCAAGCATCTTACAGGCCCAATATCAGCACTCATGGACTTTTGCTTGTTGAGAAGAAGTCGTTTGTATATTTTAACATATTTGACCCCTGTGACCTTGAAAGTTGTTCAAGGTCATTCATTTGAATAAACTTGGTAGCCTTTCCTCCCAGCATGCTACAGACCCAATATCGGCACTCATAGACTTTTGCTTATTGAGATGAAGTCCTTTGTATATTTTAACATATTTGACCCCTGTGACCTTGAAAGTGGGCCAAGGTCATTCATTTGAACAAACTTTGTAGGGCTCCATGCCAGCATGCTATGGGCCAAGTATTAGCCCCCTAGGCCTTCTAGTATTTGAGAAGAAGTTATTTAAAGATTTTGACATATTTGACCCCTGCGACCTTGAAAGTTGTTCAAGGTCATTCATTTAAATAAACTTGGTAGCCTTTCCTCCCAGCATGCTACAGACCCAATATCGGCACTCATAGACTTTTGCTTATTGAGATGAAGTCCTTTGTATATTTTAACATATTTGACCCCTGTGACCTTGAAAGTGGGCCAAGGTCATTCATTTGAACAAACTTTGTAGGGCTCCATGCCAGCATGCTATGGGCCAAGTATTAGCCCCCTAGGCCTTCTAGTATTTGAGAAGAAGTTATTTAAAGATTTTGACATATTTGACCCCTGTGACCTTGAAAGTTGTTCAAGGTCATTCATTTAAACAAACTTGATAGCCCTTCATCCCAGCATGCCACAGGCACAATATCAGCAATCTGAGCCTTTTGGTTATTGAGAAGAAGTTGTTTAAAGATTTTAACATATTTGACCCCTGTGACCTTTAAAGTGGGTCAAGGTCATTCATTTGAACAAACTTGGTAGTCCTTCATCCCAGCATGTCACAGGCCCAATATCTACACTCTGAGCCTTTTGGTTAATGAGAAGAAGTTGTTTAAAGATTTTAACATATTTGACCCCTGTGACCTTTAAAGTGGGTCAATGTCATTCATTTGAACAAACTTTGTAGGGCTCCATGCCAGCATGCTATGGGCCAAGTATTAGCCCCCTAGACCTTCTAGTATTTGAGAAGAAGTCGTTTGAATGAAAAGTTTACGGACGGCGCATGGCGGACGGCGCACGGCGGACGGCGCACGGCGCACGGCGGACGACGACGGACGAAGCATGATGACTATAGGTCATCGGACCCTTCGGGTCAGATGACCTAAAAAGCAGTTTCAAATCAAACAGGAAATATTTGTTTTGCCTCAGGTTTATTGTCCATGAACAGCCTGGTTTCCTTTTAAGGCAGGGGTCTCATTGTAGGAGCTGGTGGCCATCTCACTGAACAACATAGAGGAGACCCATCACATGCCAAACAGAGATATAGAAAAAAAGTATCCTTGCCCATGGACATAAACAGAAAACAGATTGGTCGGTTTCTAAGCTTTCTGTGAAACACAAATTACTATTGGATAAGGAGAATCAAAGAATGCACACCTCTGGGATCTTCATCTGAGGATTTTGTTGGAAAATTCACCCTCTACTGAATTAACTATTGCAACTCTTCCAAGTCAGAAAAAAAATGAAGAAGAAATACCCATATACATTTGTCTCAGTAAAAATTCAAATTGTACAAAATATTTCCATCTTGTGATAAAATAAATATATATCAACAATCACAGTCATCCTGTTATCCTACAGTTTATCATAATGATGTGTACCAAACATTGACTATGAATGTATTATAGGTCAACCTGTCCTATAAAACACATGTCACATAATCATATGAAATTAAAACAATAAACAAATAAATGAAATATCAACATTATTAGATGAAAATGTATAGCAGAGAAATATATTACTTGTATCTACCTACGTCAATGTATGATTACCATGTTAACTCACCACCCCAGGTACAAGTGTGCGCCCACCTGTTTCATTTGATAAATACCCATGTAGGCGTTTGAGTTGCTGCAGTGATAAGCGTAGGTCATATGATGCCTGAGGAAAGCTACTTAAATGTCATTACCTTTAATAAAGGCCTCATTAAGTCCCTTCGTGGGAGGTTTCTGGTCAATCAGAGCAGCAGTTAAAGTCCAATTCTTCTATGTACAGGTAAACAATAAACTCTGACCAATCAAATTGTACACTGAACATCGTCTATTCATTGAAACCTATTTGCAATGGTCGATGGAAATTCTGTTGATACTGAAACAGATTATTCCTGTTAACCTTAATCAGCTTTCTCAATTGATAACAAACAAACGATATTGGAATATTATGATCTGTCTATAGACTGGTTTAAAAGTAGGTAAGAATTTTAAATCCAAACCCACCTAAATTTGGGGAAATGTGTAATTCTGCTGTATTATTTGCCCAAAAGAAGCAACTAATGTGCCCCTAACCTTCATTAACCAATTGAAATAAGATGTATATATCTTAAGAGGCATTCTGACTTGTAGACAATGGAGAACCAATAGGAGCCATGCTGTATCCAAGTGATTCCTGTCAGGTTACTGTCATTGTACAGTTCTATCCACAATCTTGTACAGAAGAGGATCAGTTACTCAATGGCACAACACCTATTGTCAACTGTTTTCCTTCCTATGTTTCCAAAGCATTAATTTTTTTGTATGACTTTGACATTTTAAAGGACATTTTGCATACTTCTGACTTTGCAAAGATGGTTCAAGTGACCTTGACTTTTGTGAAGATGTTTTGTACGACCTTGACTTTCGTGAGCTTGACTTTCGTGAGGATGTTTTATATGACCTTGACTTTTGTGAGGATGGATAATATGACGTTGACTTTTGTGAGGCTGTTTTGTATAACTTTTGACTTTTCTGAAGTTGTTTTTTATGGTCTTGATTTTGCCATGATGTTTGGTATGACCTTGACATTTGCAAGTTGTTTGGTATGACCTTGACTTTCGTGGAGATTTTTGGTATGACCTTGACTTTAGTGAGGATGTTATGTATGACCTTGATTATTGTTATGTTATACCTTGACATCAAATTCCAATTCAGGTAGTAATTTTTATACAAGCAATAAAAAGGTTTTGAATTCAACTTTTCAAATAATATTAAAATATAGCAAATCATAAAAATATACTAAAAATTCTCTTAGCAAATAAAACACAAAAATTGTAGGATCATTGACTGAGTGAGGGAAAGTTAAACTACAAATTTAAAGAATACGTTTCTTATAATACAACCAGTAGAAGACTTGAGTGTGACAGTTCACTGGCCAAATAGTCACCTTCATCAGACAACCGACCAGTGTGGAGCCTACAAGCACTGATGTACGTAGAGCTGAGATAGTAAGGATTTAGACTACCTTATTCGGCTGTACTATAAAAGTGGAAAATCATCCGAGGAGATGGTAAATAGACTATAGACCAAACGTTACACAAGAAAGTAACAACGTAATAAAGGGTCAAGGTCACGCGGACCTGGGTGGTCACTAAAAATTTGCTCTGAGCGAGTAGAGTTATTTATGTAATTTTCTGGCGTTCAGAATATTGTGATTTTTGGACTATGGATTGTTAATACATTCCGAATCTGAACGGTTGAAGAATTTCTTGAAATCTTAACCAGGAAAGTGTTTTTTTGGACTATTGCTAAAAGGACAATGGATTAGACCTTAGCGTGACAACTACTTACGACGCGCCCACTATACAGCTTACATGTAGTTCGTGCTTTATACGCTTTACATATGTGTATATAGATGGTTGTGAACTTTTGAAACATGGGGAAACCTGGAACAACAAGAAGTCAGAGTACTACAGGTACCAAGACAACAGAAGAAAGATTGGAAGAAATTACTGCAATGCTTCATAACCTTGTGACGAAAACGGAGATGGACAAAAAGATCCTTCGAATTACTGACAAGATGGAGGAAAAGTTCACAAAGTTGAGGGATGACATCAAAGAAGAGAATCGTGAGTTGGTAGAGTCATTGGAAGGACGTATTTACGAACTGGAGAAGGAAAATGAAATGCTTAGAGAGCATGTTGAGAACCTGGAATCTAAGTGTTCAGAACTCCAAGTCTCAAAGACCACTATGGGTGAAAAGTTTAATGACTTAGAACAACATGGACGAAAAAATTCAATAAGAATTTTCGGACTAGAGGATCCGTCGGAAAAAGAGACTGTCGACGAATGTAAGGAAAGTGTTGTGAGATTTGTCAACTCTAGGCTGAATGTTCCACTCAGGGAAGAAGATATTGACATTACCCACAGACTCGGGAAGTTCGTTCGTGGAAAAAACAGAAATGTGATTGTGAAGTTCACGCATAGGACGAAAAAGCATGAGATCATGAAGGCCAGGCGAGTGTTAAAGGGTTCCGGTGTGACTGTTTTCGAGGACTTGACTAAGTATAACCAGGATCGACTTAAGGAGGCATACAGACTTAATTGTGTGAAAAATACTTATAGTATAGACGGCAAGCTGTATGCTATTCTAATGGACGGTAGAAAGCGTAGGCTTTCTTTTGATATTCCTCTCACTGACGATTTCCTTATGAAGGACGAGAATTTCAGACGATCCAAAAGGGACGATTTTTCGTAAGTGACAATGTGTTTGATCGCGTCGCGCTAAATCGGTAATGAACCTTTCCGGGAATTACCCGGTTACCGATTAGTCGTGATCTAGGTGCATGTGTTGTGATATAATATTTGTGTGTTGTGATATAATTTATGTGTGTGAGTTCCCTTGGAAATTATACCTTGGAATTAAGGAATTCGATATTTAAGGTATGTCATATTTTTCTGTTTATCGTTACACAATAAGTGTAACAAGATGATCCATATACAGTAATCGTTACTAGCTAGGTTAACACGTCCTCTTTTTTTCCCTCTACCTTTCTCTCTTCACTAACTAT